GTAGTAAAATAATAACTATATATATATATATATATATATATATATATATATGCACATACATGAAAATATTGGACAAATTATATGGAAAATTTATAAAATTTTATAAATAATTGTTATAATAAATAATTCTTAATTTTTCAGACATATAAATCAATTTGGATTACTACAAGGAGATTCAATTGTCTGGTGGAAAGCTGGTCTTGGAATTGCAGTCGCTACCGTTGCAGGTTTTGTGGTGATGCGTGTCTTAAATACAGAAAAAAGATAGTCTACCATATTCCTTTTCTTGCACATTTAACTGCCTCTTTACTTCAAATATAAAGCCGTCTTTAAGAAACGCGTTAAGTTAATAAACAGTGTTCTTAAATCAGTAATTTTTTATATGTCCTTGATTATTTCATAAGGATCAGAACAATTTATTTATAATTTGATCTTTTGGAACATACCATTTCATGTGAATGATTAATTTTTATGTTTGTATCCATTTTGACATTTCATCCACATATCATGATAAGCTTTGCATGTATCTAGATCTTCGTTTCTTGAAGCGCATTCGAAGAATTCTCGTATTTCAGGAATACATGGTTCTTCAGAATTATTTTTAGATTCTGCTTTAGCAGAAGATACATGATTAATGTTACCAGCAAGTGTGCTTCCAATTGCTTGGCCCTTATGAATCAGAGAATCATTAATTTTCAAAGAAAATAAAGTATAAGAAAAATTAAATTAATACTTACTATAATAGAACCAACAGCAACTCCAGCTGCTGTACTAGCAGCAGATTGAAAAGTTGAAGATTGACTGTTATTATTTGTCCATGGTTGAGATGATGAATTTTTTGCCTTAAATCTATATAGAAATATGTAATCAAAATTTAAAAAATGTAAAATATTTTCTCATTTATCATTATCATAATTTATTCATTTATCATTATTATTATATATTTATTATTGTATGAAAATTAATATTTATTTTATGTCCTTTTTTTGTTCTTTTAGTTATTTAAAAACAAATATATAAATATAAGAGGATTAAAATAAATATAATATGTAAATAGAAGTCAATTTATTTCACTTCTATGCATACAAAGATATTGTCTAATTCATATTAGTGATAATTTTAACATAATTTTTATTTATTGTAAAATTAAATCCAAATTTTTATAAGATTTATTAAATTAATTCACATGATGTTGAGCTCCTAAATTTCTTCTATCATCCAAGTAGTTTTGGGAAGATACTCGTTTAAACTACATCTGAAATTAAAGAACATGATATAGATAAAATATATATAATACATTAAAAATTAATATAACACAAATAATATAATTAATAATAATTTAAACTTACTATTAGCTGCTTTGCACTGGCGGAGAGCTTCATTGAATCCTTCGCACAATGTAAGATCAGATTGATTATTAGCACATTCCAAAAATTGTTTTACTTCCCAAGCACAAGCACCACCAATAGGTGCTGCAGAAACTGGTGCACTTTGTGCTACAGCAGGTGCTGCAGGTGCAACAGCAGATTCACTGGATCCTCCTCCACTGAAAAGACCAGTTACTGCATGTCCAATAGTATGACCAACAGCAGAACCTATAGCAACACCTCCAGCAGTAGCAGCCATTTGTCCCATGAGGGATGGCTGCTGAGGTTGAGCCATCATTGGCGTTGCTGCAGGAGCATGTGCAGGAGGTTGAGCAGGAGTTGCAACTGGAGCTGCTGCTCGTCTAACTCTAAAAAATAAAATTATTACACAATTACAAAATTATATATAATTATAAAAGAAATAAAACGATCACATAATTTAATTATGAATATCGTCAAATAAAATCTGAAACGTCATTGAATAATTAAGGATAGTTTACAAAAACTTATACTGCGTATAAATCTAATTTGAAAAGAAAATACTTACGTCCTTGGTGGAGGATTTGCTGCACGTCCACGTCGTGGCATGTTTTACGTTTCTTTGCACACTAGATTTCGTAATATAACACAATAAATGTTCGTACTCTCACAAGCTTGTTCTGATACTGAAAGGAAATCTTTAATGCTTTTATACGTTATGCAAGCTATTCAAACTGCGCCGACTCAGAATTATCGAGCTTTCCAGAAATAAAACAGGAAACACTCCCAAAAGAGAGACAACTTCAGTTCATTATATAACTTTAGAAATTAAAAAAAATTAATAACAAATTTTAAATAATAGAAGAATATATGAGAAATTAATAAAAAATCACTTAAAATTATATGTAATTATATTCTATTTGCATACATAAAACTTATTATATTATTAACTAGCAATTTTTAACAATATTTAAATTATGATGTTGGCTAACATGTTACATATATTACATGTATTAAATAGAATATTTCACATGATTTATTACGCACACATAAAAAATAATATTTATATAAAAAATATTATATATTGTAGAATGTATAAATTATTTTTTATTTTTAAAATAAGAATATTTAAAAATAAAAATTTACAAATCTTTACATATAAATATATTATCATTTTATGAAATACTATTGCATGATTTTATGCAAAATATTCTGTTTATAGTTCTTTGATATAAAATAAATAGATAGTGTATAAATATATTTATATACTTATTCAGAAAAATTAGTCAGCAATTATTAATATATATATAAAATATATATTTCTTTTAAAAAATATAAATTAATTATTTCCGGAATTATATAAATTGAAGATTATGTAATTCATATAATGTATAGTTTTTTCAAATAGCCTAACCTTTTTTGTTGCATTGGTGGGATTGGAGATGGTGATGCTCAACCTCGTCTTCCACTTTTCTGGTTGGTTTTTTTTCTTCCAGACATTATTATTTTTATTTTTAATTTATTCAAAATGATTCATTTTTATATCAAGTAAATTAGGTAATGATGATAATTACTTTGATATAACAGTAATTATTTTTCAATAGAATATTAGAAATTAATCATTATTATTTTTTATTGTACTCTGAAGTATGCAAAAAAATATTGTATAAATAATAATTTAACGATTTACAGCGTTATAAAATTTTCAGAATAATATATATATTCTTTCACTTGTTCATTTCAATCATTTGAAATTTTTTGATAAAGCAATTCTACTCTGCGAAAATTCTACCAGAGTGCGCCATAATCTCAGCTTTCTCAATATATGTAAGTATTTACATATAATATATTTATATATATATTTACACAGATATTAAAATGCAACAAAACAATATAAATATGTATTTGCTTTCATATCTTTGCAGTAGCTATTAAATTTTTATTGTTATATGCATTTTACTTATTTTTATAAAATTAAATAAGTTGTACTAACGATGATTATTATTTTAATAGTAAATAATAATTTGTATTCTTTAAAAATAAATAAGTCAACAAAGATTACAAATGATACTCAATAGAAATAACTATCGAGAAACAAATTTGATTAAATGTAAAATATTTAAAATATGAAAATCGAAATAGTTTTTGAATTTGATTTTTTGAATTTATATAATTTTTATTACTTTATTTGTTAACATTTCTATAGATAAATTTTTTCATTTTTCTTTAAATAAATAAATAATAATTTTTTAATTTCTTTATAATATTCCAAGATGAGGTTGATTTTTATATATATGTATTATAATTATTATATCATTAAATAATTTAATCTATTTTTAATTTTCAAAACATTTAATTCTGACAGTTATAGCAAATATATTATAATTTATATTTACATAATCATAATTTAAATAGACGTATATTTGTTTATATATATTAATATTTAATAATATTTATAAAAACAAAAACAAAATTTGTAACATTATTTTTAAAAATAACTATTTAACTTATTTTAATATTATATTTATTAATAATATATTTCAATAATACAGTATTAATAAATAAAAAATTTTCAAAATTTTAGTTAGTTATTTTCTAAAATCGAATCATTTATTAATTCTTTTTAATTAATTTTATTAATAATTTTTAATTAATAATGTATTGATAAAATTTTACATTTAATCAATTTTGTTTCTCGATAGTTATTTCTAATGAGTATTTTATATACAATAAACATATCATAATTATATAATAAATTTGGTATAATAGTAATAAATATAATAGTAGTGTAGATACATCTACTATCATTTTATTCAAAATATTGAAAGTTTTCATTATTAAATTCATCAATTTTGTTAACAATTTATTTATTATTTTTTTAGATATGTTAATATCTATTCAAGAGAGATGTAATGAATTTTATCATTATGCAAACGAAAAACGAATAAGAAAAACTAAAATTTCAGAAAAAGGAATAGCTGTTCTCCCATATTATGGGAGAGAAGTTTCGAATGGAGCGCGATGATCTGGTCAGTTTCTGCGTCGTTTCTTCTGTCTCTAGTGCAGTGTTATCGGCTTGTTATCGTCGCGCAACACGTGTCAATATAGGCGCGCATTGGCCGCAACCGCTGGGTGCATTCACCGACACATGCGCACATTAGCTGAACAAAACTCTTCATAAACCGGCGGGAACATGTTACTCATGACTCAGTGTACACGATGCCACGGCTTGGCCGCGATAGACCACGCATTACGTATATACGCCCTTCCCTTTCTTGGTTTTTTTACGGTATTACCATAATCTTTTTTATCATCAAAATTTCTTGACAGATAAATCATATACATAACCTTTCTTCCCCATTCGCGATATGATATTCAGTGTAGTGTTATAACAAAGAAACACGACCGATGCATCAATTCAGCAACATTCTCCCTCATCGAGATAAAATATTTCTTTTTAATCAAAAAATCGAAGGAACAAATAAAAAACGACACAGAATATTTTTGGGAAAGGAATGATCATTCGTTTAATCATAGCAAAACACCAAAAGATTAAGGAAGATTGCCTATCCGACGAACACGGTGAGTGATTGTTTTTGTTTTGATCGTTGTGAAACACGTGCGTATCGGCAAGTGTCAGTATAGTCTGCAACAAAGCGGTCTATTATATATAGCTATGGTGGCAATTTGTATATATTATTAGACGTAATTCAAAAATTATTTTAAGAAAACTGATGTAATATCTGATGGTGGCTATGAAATATGAAGCGCATTTAATACCACGATAGTGATAAGGCTAGAGACAAACACCTTTCTGATTCGCAATTCGAATGAAATGAAATGAGAGAGCGAGAGAGAGAGAGAGAGAGAGAGAAGAATTAAATTAAATAAAGAATCGATGAGAAGAAAATAGGTGCCTTGTTCGAGCGCTATCAAATTTAAATTATACGTCAATTGACATGTTTGTGTCATATACTCACTCGTGTCAATCGTCTCATGCTGGTAAACAGAGCTATAATCTGTCTCATTTATGAAAATATTTAAAAATTATATTCATATTTTTTTTTTTTTTTTTATAGAAGTTTCTCATCTTTTGCATCTTGTTCCTTTTCTTCGAAATTTGTTTGACGTAGTAGCACCCCTGCGTCACAACGGCCCAAAATTATTCTTCCCAGTAACACAAACGCGTGGCAATCACGGAGTTGCGCACTTCTTTCATGGCGCTGTGCCAATTTCAAAGTTCAGGTACTCGAGATCGCAGCATGTATAGGGTGTTTCTTTATTGATACTGATATTTTATATATATATGATAGATTTAATTAATAAAAACAAAAACACAATCTATTCAATTTTTCTTTTCAACTTGTTGTTCATTTATATATTTTTATATATCTTTTAATTTTCAGAATTTCCAATATTTTTAATCGTGTTTGAATTCGCCTATTATCGTATTTTTTTTTATTTTTTTTCTGATATGTGAAAATTTAACAATCTCGAAAACACCGTTCCCACAAATTATCGTAGTATTTCATTACAATGAAATTTTATCTGAAAAAAATCACAAATATGAATTACCAGTAAACAAGAAATTCAATTGTTCAAAATTCGAAAATCAGTTACCAGCAAAGCAGTCAAATTTCAAACAGATCTGTATCATAAATTAGATAAAATGAATTTTTAAAAGATACAGCATCGCTCAGGTAGATCCCTCCAATATTATCTGGCAGTTAAAATTAAGCGCTCCATTCAGCATAATAATATTGTTTCGAATCTCATTAACTGAATAAGTTACGCTGATGATTCTTGTGTTGCAGTGTTGTAATTGATTTGAGTATGAGCAACAACGAATGAACAGAAAAACATGAATAAGTGAATTAATCAATGAACTTGTCATATCGATCAAGCATGGAGTTTCATCTTTCCAAGTTATGTGCAAACGGATATATTCATTGGAAATCCTGTAACGTGTAAGATGTTGACAGGAAAATCCATTAATTCAGATACCGAATAACACCAAACACAAAATCTGCATTTAAAATTAATCTTTTTTTTCTCTTTCTTATTCAAATTAATTCCAAAACTCGTTTTTACCTAAAAATCATATTATATTGAAATACGAAGACATTGCTGGTAAAAATTTTATATGATGCAATATAATGTATATATTTCTATATAATTAAAAATCTATATACATCGAATTTCATCGAACAGCATTATTACGGATACATACGTTATATACAAGAATTCGTATTCAACGAACATTATCGCTATTAATAAAAATAAACTAATGTTTATAGATTATGATTATATATCGACATATATCTTATATTCATCGATAAGTAAATATTTTTCTCTCTTTTTTTTTCTTTTTTTTTTTTTTTTTTAATAAAAACAGAGACACAGATGTGCATAAAACCGATTAATCATCTCTAATGTGTTTCCTGGTTTGAAAATATATTTTCGACATTTTTATCAAGGTTTATTTTATCAGACGGCCTTTGATGCATAAAAATGATTCATTATTAAAAGATTTGATAAGATATCAATCTTATACAACTTTTGTCAGTCTAAGAACATTCATCCTTGGTGTTTTAATCGATCGTATATATCAACTTTTCTGCTGATCCTTGCATAAACATTGTTAAATGCTTCGATGTATTTATAAAGTATGTTTTATCGTTGCAACGTGACTAACAACAGAAATGCATAATGCGGAAATTCTGTAATACCATATATCGAGCAATATTAATTTATAGAAAAAAAAAAAAAAAAAAAAAAATAAATAGTTCATATCGTATATGTTAATTCCTTCGATACATATTTTTCATTTTTCAATCAATCTAATCAATCTAATGATGCAAGATATATCTATAAGTATATTGTATCAGAAATATTTTATCTATTATTAGTTCTAATATTTATTAGTCGATTAGACTAATAACACGTATGAACCAAATTCTCCAAGGCGAACGACCTTTAAACTCGAGTTAGAGTTCGTTGGCCGGAACCCAGAGACATAAAGAGATATTTGCAAAGGGATATAAGTACAAGAAGCTCGTAAAATTGAACAAAGCCGAAGGAGTGACGTAAATACAACGCGTGTACGAAAAATTTTCAGATACAAGTTTAGAAGAAGAAAAGTTTGAGATTCAAATTTATTGTTCTCTCAAATTAAACAAATAAGAGAATTTTAAGATAATAAATAGTATATGAATAATATATATATATATATATTAGAACATATGTATCATATAGAATCTTTTTTTGCAAAAATATATTTATTTCAGTATCATTATTTTTTTAAAAGAGATATGAATAAATTGATAAAAATTAGACACCTTATATATCGCCGATAGCTTCTGTTTATACACGAATAAAGGTGGTGAGCCTTGCACGTGAGAAAGTCAAATCGAGGACGAAGACGATTGAAATGAGGAAAAGTAACGGAGCGAATAACGGGTTGATTTTAACGCATCTTGCCGTTACGAACGCGTTTATAAGCTTAGTTGTTAGGTCATAGTAGATCATGTAACTTTACGATCGAATGCATGTTAATATGCTATAATTATATATTGATATAATATACACATTTTTATTTTTATATTTATTTTCGTTCTATAAGAGAATGGACACTTTTGTAAATGAGAATATTAATCTATTTAATATTAATTTAATTTTTGTTCAAAAGAGTAAAGTTTAGAAATCTTGTTTGATAATAATTATCGATAATAATATAACATATATTTAAGAATCGTTACATTAAGCATGTCTATGTCAGAAAAAATGAAATAGTCATCAAGTTTACAAAAAAACGCTGTCATTTCATTTCAGGAAATTTGTGATGCTAATATCTATGTGAATAAATCAATGCAATAGGATCGGAATTTTATTAGCCATCATATTTATTTATTTCTTTTGAAACAAAATTCAGAAAATAATTTGTTGAACAGTTATTCTTTGATGAAAGAATAAACGCAGTAATAATAATTAAAGCTATTAAATAAAATTATATATTATTAGAATTTGAGAAAATAATAAAATGTTTTAAAATTAGAAATAAAAAATTTGAATGTTATAAATATTAATATTTATTAGACATTAATATTTTATATATACATATATATATATATATATATGTGTATGTATTATTAGCCATTTTGCGATAGATCATATCGATCGCTCGAATATTATCGAGGAGTGTAGCTACTTACCCGCCAAACTTCGGAACGTTCGTTCGCGCAAGTGCAATTCGCGGTGGGAGATCTCTCGTATCATCTGGGGGGGTTTAAAGTAGTGGGGAATCTTCGAAAGCGCGGATTAAACGCGAAGCAGCTAGACTATCACCGCGTATATACCGGTACTATTGGCATGTTCCGACAAATACGCGTTTTGAGCTCATATGAGCATTACGTACTGATTAAACGTTTCATTTTCGATGATTTGCGAGTGTACCGCCAGAGCACGCGATTAACTAAATGGCTTACATAACTTGCGCGGTAACGTTAATTATTTCGAATAAATCGCATACATTTTATTTTTCATATCGTGAGTATCATTTCAATAAATCCGAATTGATGACAATCTTTAATAACCGCGTGAATACGATCAGTGAAAGTCACCCTTATTGGAGTTTGGCACTCTTTCGTTTCTTCTCATGAATACGAAATAGAGTTGCCGGTTCTTGGCTCGCTCAATCGGCAGTTATGTGTTTTTTAATTTTTCGTTGAAATCTACAATAAAAACCATGTGCAGTGCTAAATAATAATTAAACATCAAAGTTATTTTCTAGAAGTAATTCAACAAGATGAATTTTAAATAATAAAATGTGTTGCATATGAATTTAAACGTGGCGGTGACCTAGAACAATTCAAAGTGGTAACTTTATCATCGGAGTAGACAAATCTCGCAACTGTGCCAAGAAAAAACCAAGTGGGGATTAAGAAATGCGATCATTGTTCGTTCAGATTGTTGTGTGACAATGAGTTACGTTTGGATTATGATTATGAAATTCGCGCCACGAAACAAAATTTTTTTAATTATCATGAATATATTTATTTTATATTTCAACAAATTATATTCGTCTATAAAATTTCTAAAGTTTCAGTTAAAATGAAAAAAAAAATTGAAAAAAGAATTTGATAATATAACAAAAATATGAAAAATAACAAAGAGAAAATCACGTGTAGTAACGATTGTTATCGGCAATAATAGACAAAAGTCGTTATTGAATTATCTGGTGAAATTTCATTTCTGCGATTGTTCTAGTTCGTGCTCGAAGACGTGCCAATGGTTAAGCATTCCATCTATAAAACGCGTAGTTCACGTTTGCTGTGGAGTTGACGCACTGCCCGCGATCGTTGCATGATATCTCATGTTTTTTGGAACACGCGGTCGTGTGTGTGTTCCAGTCTCGCGTCTCGTGCACGAATTTTACAGTGACCTTTAACGGACATATATTGAATCAAGCGTGTGCCGAAAGTGCGGTAAAGTAAAAACGAAGTGTTGTGGTTTATCACACGTGAAGATGGAGGATACAGAAGCCAAAATCATACCGGGAATCAGCATGTCCGTACTCGTACTCATGAGCACGCTGTTTCTTGGCGGTGTGGTCCTTGTAATCGGTTACATTGTTAGCCGGTTGTCACAGTCCAATAAATCTTCAGATTCAACGAAAAGTAAGCACTGCTATAAATAAATTTTTACTAGAAATAATCTCCTACAACTCCTGGAAGAAAATCACGCTTGCGTGTTTGCGAATCCTACACCGCTGAGTACGATTCTCTTTTCTTTTCGTGTTTTCACTTGCAGACTGAAATAAAAGAAATTTCATGAGATGAAGCAAAATGCTAAATAAATATATTAAATGAAACAAGTTCTGTCGACATATCTAAATTTCATAAACAAGAAAAATTCCTCTCATTTTGTCTTATCTATATTTACGCGAGAACTTATATTGATAAATGTTTTTTCCTATAATCAGGCTACATTCCTAACGATTTTAATCGTTGGTTATAAACGAATTGTACAATTCTAATTATTATTACGCATAGAATGCATTTAAACATGCTCATGCTTTTAAAAAAAAATTTGCAGCGAAAATATGAGCTGTTCAAAATAAATTGATTGAAATGAAACAGGATACAATATAATAGTGGTAATGATGCGCGCATTGCAGGCATATTTTATAATATGAAATACTATTTGATCTGTTCTCATGTTAATACGCGAAGAATTGGCGGGAAATTACAGTTTTGGAAAGAATAAGAGTTTTGTCGACTGTTCGTTATTTATGAATTGTTATATATAAACGACTTCCGTGTGAACATAACTATATTAGTAATGATATTGTACTTGGAAGAAAATTTCATTTCATCGCAATAATTTAAATGTTTTAATATTACAGTTTAGCCATAATTATATTATTACTATACTATATTTTATCTTATATATACATATATATTTTGGCCTAGTTTAACGAATACATTATTTACTTGATGGGATAATGAACTATACAACTGAAAATATTTATATCTATGAAGCTGGGAAAATTAATAAATCATTTTGTTAATAAATCCAATACTAAATTTTAATAAATTATTAATTATTTTCATTTATCAAAATAAAAATAATGTAGGGCATCGTTTTTTCGTAAAAATTGAATTAGACAAATCAAATGGGAATAGAATATACGGTGTGGGGTGAATCCAAGAAGACAAAGAGAGAAGTGCAGTTGCGTCGCACGCAATATTTCGTGCTGGGATACTCTTCGATATACTTCATGAACTAAACTATATGCATTAGACCGTTTCTATATTTCGAAATATTTAGAAGTATCTTTTTTAGAGGTTAAGTTCAACGATACTATCTTTTTTCTTATTTCTCTTTATATATCTCTTTTTTACTTACTTTTTATATACTGTTTATTGCGAAGTAATTAATTAATAATTATTTTATCAAAATTTGTTTACAGGAATTTTTACAAAAGTTTTTATTTATTTCATTAATTAAACGATTAATTAAATTTACAATATAATCATTAAAAAGTAAAATTAACGATATTTACATAACGTTAAAAATGCAATCTTGAATCGTACATTTTCAAAAGTTCGTAATTTTCGCGGCACAGAAGACGTAATTATTAAAGCGATAGAGAAGTCGGATCATAGGCAAGCATGTGCGATTCTTTCGTGCACTAGAACTAAATCTTCATCACCATGACAATGAATGTATCATAGAAAAGAAACAGAATGTGGTAGTTTTCTCTGTTATCCGAGTAAGAGCGAGGAGTAAGAGCCACGCAACGGGCACCCTTGTGTATAAATAAACCGACATCGCGCCTGTATATTTATACGCGCGTCTCGCGTGCGTACACGTGTACTTACGAGGAGAAACGCTCAGGGCCGTATGGACGAATACGCTTGACGAATGGACAATTGAGATTAACCTGTTGGGATTTTTTTTCGAGGACTTTTTATTTATGGCAGCCGGAAGCATGATATTAAACACGTTTCTGTCGTTCATCCTTAAATTTCGACCCTGAAAATGACTTGATCGATAAAGAACATTATTGAGTTTGAAGTTACATAGATTTTTTTTATTCGATGTATTTCGTTAATGATTATTTAGATGTCGTTGATGACATAATCGTTTAAATAAATTTTTTAAACGAATCATAAAATTATTCAATAATTTTTTATATAATTTTTATATAAGTTAATTTAATTTTTAAATAAATTTAATGGTAGCTGATAAAAAATTATGTATCATTAAGATAATTAAAAATAATTAAACGCAAATTATGGATCGCTTTACATGTTGGAAACAATCATAAAATTCATATCAGAGTAGGAAAATTTGCAACACGCGATTTCTGTCCCGTTGTAGCGGAGAACATAAATTTGTCGCAGTGCGCTACATTTTCCGGGCCAGTGCGGCAAAACACGTCCCTGAAAACTCGCAGCACGCGTTGCGAGTAGTGCACTGACCGCAGGTAACTATTTCTATTTGTCGATCAGTTTTGCTTTCTCCGTTAAATAAAAAGAGAATACCATGCACATATAATATATGTATATGTTGTGCAATTAATCTAACAAGATGCTTGTTCGATGAAAATGTTATTTAAATAAAAATTACATATTTTTGAAAGAATAATATATACGTATAAGTTGTAAGGGTTAAAAAAAAAATGACGAATCATTTATATATATATATATATATATATATATG